TTTTATTCAATAAAATTTCAATATTATTCAATTTTATTCAATAAAATTTAATGATGAGATTTGCCAAGTGTCTGAATAAATACAATAAATAATTTGTGTTTGAATTACTAAAAATTACTGGCATGGTTTCAAAAATACCAGAATAAGAATTCCAAAACTGAAACGGCAATAATCACCAGAAGATACATAAGGGTCAACAAAACAACAATTACAGAGAAAAACTGCAAGATAATAAGAAGTCGAGTGTTTTAATGGTTCAAACCATACAAAAATTTGTAATTTAATGGATGATAAGTAAAATAAGCAAAGGAATTTTATGCTTTTAACTTTCAATAATCTGTAATCTAAAAATTGGCTGAAGAGGGGCAAGGAATGCCCGAAACATGTACAAATGAGATGAACATGTATAAACTGAATAAAATTTAATGATGAGATTTGCCAAGTGTCTGAATAAATACAATAAATAATTTGTGTTTGAATTACTAAAAATTACTGGCATGGTTTCAAAAATACCAGAATAAGAATTCCAAAACTGAAACGGCAATAATCACCAGAAGATACATAAGGGTCAACAAAACAACAATTACAGAGAAAAACTGCAAGATAATAAGAAGTCGAGTGTTTTAATGGTTCAAACCATACAAAAATTTGTAATTTAATGGATGATAAGTAAAATAAGCAAAGGAATTTTATGCTTTTAACTTTCAATAATCTGTAATCTAAAAATTGGCTGAAGAGGGGCAAGGAATGCCCGAAACATGTACAAATGAGATGAACATGTATAAACTGAATAAAATTTAATGATGAGATTTGCCAAGTGTCTGAATAAATACAATAAATAATTTGTGTTTGAATTACTAAAAATTACTGGCATGGTTTCAAAAATACCAAAATAATCTAAATTGTTTTTACCAGAGTGAAAATTTTTAGAAACCTCAAGCATTTTCAGACTACAGTAGAGCTCTGAGTAGACTGAATGTCCGAATGTCAATCAACCGAAACATCAATTAACTGAAAGCTTTCCAGTCAGCAAATTTAAATTTCCACTAGTGCTGTGGCACTGCAATCTTTGGCTGTCTTGGGCTACTCCAATATTATTTTTGTTGGTGTGCATGTTTTAGCTGGCAGCACTGGCACGACCATGAGAGGGTACTTAAGGACGCACCAGGATTTGAACGAATTTCAACGTGGGATAGGTTAATATATATTTTGTACATAATCGGCTATCCAAAAAATCGATTTTCCAAAAAAACATTAGACCCCAACTGATTTGGATAATCGATGCTCTACCGTATTTTCACAATAGAAAATTAATTAGAAAAAAAAACTCAAAGTCTGATTCTTTTCTAATTGATTTTCTATTGCTAAAATTTCTAAAAAACTTTTAAAAAGTTTATAGTCTAATTCAAATATTTTAATCCTTTCTGTTTCATGAGAAGATAAAATTTCAATTATGCAACCTCTGCTGGATTATTTTCTATTAGCTCAAACTTTATTTTAAATTATGAATTTTTAAACCTTTTCCTTATTTATTTTTATTTGATTAACACTCTTAGGTCTGAATTTTTAGATTTCATAATTCTGTGGACCAATCTTTGATAATCTTTTTTAAAATTTTGTGCAGTTGAAAACAAATAGTTTTATGGTTTGTGTGACTATTCTACACTAAAGATTTTTTTTCCTGTTAATTTGATATATAATAAGTGTAAGGAACCAAGTCCAAGCATTATTTTTATTTACTTTTATTTTGCTTTTTATTATATTTTTGTTTGGGGCTTATGTTTTGTTAGGATGAAGGTTTCCTCACCATTCACCTTAGAAACTTAAAAATAGAAGAGAAAACCAACTCACCAACGAGAGAAAAGCGCCGTAGGAAAAAACTCACGCACACTTGCATTCCCAAGTGGAAAAAAGTAACTCCGCACCGAGAAAAAGGGGGGGGAAGACCCCACAAGCACAACTTAAATTCGCTAAACCTTAAAAGAATAAAAACATCCCGCAAATTGTCAAAAAGAATAATGTAAAAGGTTAGCGAGTATTGTCAGAAAATAGGCTGCCAAACAAATAGAAAAAGTTTATTGTTAGCAAATAAGTATGTAAATGAGGGGAGTGATCTCATTCAGAATTGTGACGTCACCTCACAGTATAAAAACCGAACGTCAAGTGAAGACGAATGAGGTGAACTCCAGATAGCAACAAGCTTCGTAGCAGTGAACAAAAGAGAGGTGTCCGATAGGATCAAATAGTTCCAAGGCGATTTTGAAGTTATTCGATTTGTGGATCGACGAATAGAGAAAGTCTTGAGAGTTGAGGAAATAGGTTCCTAGTATATTGAGGTGATGATTAGGATCTTTAATTCATAAGAATTATTGTATATAAGTTAAGTCTTTGAATTTTGTCGAATTCCAAAGGGGAATAGATTTAAGTTAGAAACTAGATTGATTTGAGTTTTGTCGGGTTGATTCTTATTGAGTTTCATTGAATAAATTGTTGTTTGATTTTACTAAATATTGTATATAGTTATTATTAGAATTATTTATTAAATATTTGATTTTGTTATTGACAAACTTGGTCATTATTTAATTCGGTGCACGCTAAAAGTCCAAGCCTGGCACACTAACGCAAATCCGCGTAAAGTACCCATTAGGGAACGGCTATTTCTGGCACACAGTCGTGTCGATAATCGTTGGAAAGTCGGAAAAATAAAATAGTACTTTACATAAGTAAGTGTTTGTTGAAATAAATTTGATTGTTTATAATATAAATACAAGGAGCAGTCAAAAAGTTCCCTGAATTTACCTACAGTTAGAAAATGCAATATAAGATAAAGTTATGCATTGCTGTGGCAGGAAGATCAGCAAGTCTATTCGCAGTGTGATAATGTTCACGCAACTTTAAACTTGCACAGTTGTTACTATAGTGTCTTTGTTATACAGTTGTTAAGGTATGACTGCTTATCATTCGGCACAATGTCCCATACATCAAGGTCATGTGCAAATTGGGGAAAACTGCTGCAGAGATGCTGTCAGCCCTGCAGAAAGTTTACAAGGAAGTGGCCCAACAAGTGGCGTAGACAGTGGTTTCTCCATCATGACAATGCACAGAGTTAAACATTGCTTATTGTGCAGCAATTCCTTGCTGACAAAAGCAATACTGTCATCACCCAGTCACTTTACACTTCCAGTGACTTTTGGCTGTTCCCTACTTTCAAAATGGACCTCAAAGGGATGTGTTTTGCAAGCAGGGAGGACATCATATTGAATATGATGGCCCAACTCCTGAAGATTCCAAAAAAAGCATGTCATGCCTTCTTTCAACAGTGGCAGGATCGATGGAACAAGTGTGTTTGCACGAAAGGGTGTTTGCCTTTGAAGGTGATTAGGTTTGCATTGCCATATCTCGTGCCACTACAGTGCAGGATATTAATTGGCCTTGTGAACTTCATGTTCTTCTTAAGAATAGTGACACCTACAAAGCATTCAAAAAATTGATTCATAAGTATCACATATGCTCCGTCATTCATTAAGTTGGTCATGTCTGTCATCGGGCACTATCTTCATTTGCTCCCTGCACATTATTGTACATTATTCATTCTACTGCAACATATATCTGTGTAATTTTTATTATTACACAGATTTACTATTAGTACTACTTTATTTTATACTACTGTACATGTTATTCTACTCTCAAGCTATGTATCATATCGGTTGATTTGAATCAGTCAACTCATCATCTGTTCATACTTCTTCTCTATTGTCATACTGGTTTGTATGTTAGCTCTCTGTTATTATGTATGTATTTACCTGTGCTTTGATATATCTCTGTATTTAACCCAATTATGCTCTGGTGGTATCAGGAATAAATAAAGATAAAGATAAAGTGTGGATCACAATTCTGGGAACTTTTTGACTGTCCCTCGTATAATGATTACAAATGCAAAACCCAATTTTTTTAGTCTTTATTTATAATTGTACCATTTGAAAAATGCACACTCAATTCTAATTGGATAATTGTTTATTTTCATTCTATTTATTATTTTCTGTCCTTTGACAAAGATATATGAAGATATATGCAATGAAATTTTAATTTTATTTCGGTAAATATACAAATTTGCATATCATAAAAAAATGCATTAATCCACAATAATTTGATGTTTATATTTATTTACTTATTTGTATTTACATTTTAAAAGAACAAAATATTAAATTATTTAATAATAATAGTAATAACTTCAATGAAAAAAAGATGAAAAACTTTTTGTTGTGAAAAAAATTCCATAAAAGTAACAAAATTGCAATATTGATTTCAAATCCCAATCTTAAAATTTTGTCAATAGATGAAGGTAAAGTATACTACTAACAAAAGGACAATTGCCCTAGGAAATACAAGCAGACATGTTTAGACCAAAGGTTACGAGAAATTGCAAGTATATTTCTGGGTCAAAGGTTATTTCCTGTATCTTAACTAGTATATTAAACTTTTCAATATCCTACCATTAGAAGTTAACCAGACATTTTTTTTTAATTGACTCTTGATAATGAACACAGTTTGAAAGCACTCAAGTTTCTAAAAATTTTTGGTCCAAGAAAATCAAGTTTATTCAAAGCACGTGCAACTATTAATTAATGAAATTCATTCTTTATAATTTTATTATATTAAAATAAATAAATTTCTAAATCTTACAGCTATTTTTCATTTTTTTGAACTTGTCCCTATTTTATCCATGCAAAAGTCAACTTGAGTTATATAATTTCACTTTATATATCACTACTTGGAACTAATTAATTGCTTAATTAATGCAAGGGATATCTGAACATATATTTCAAAATACACAAAATGTTATATGTTAAATAAAGAAAAATAATAATATTCTTCTTGAAAGCATTAATGCAGTTATTTTTTTTATTTTTTAGATAAGTATTTTTTGTTTCTCTAAACTCTTTTATTAAGTTTTTACAGTATTATCTACAAAAGATTAAAAACTGATTTGTTTTATTTACCCTCTGTCAGATATAGACTGTGCAACAGCTTCATATTTTCTTGCTCCAGGACTGAAATAAGTTTCTTCCAATATTTTTCTCCTAAGTTTATTATCTTCCTTCCTTGTTTTAATTTTTTGATATTTTCCAGCATTTTTGGCTTCACTTATCATTTCATCAACTGTTGCAAATTTACAAATCTGTGAAAAAATAATTTAACATAAATAAAAATTTAAAGTAAAAGTAAAAAAAAACTAATACAAAATATAAATTAACTGATCCTTATTCTGAAATACTATTAATTTTGTATATTAGTTTTTAAATAATTATTCCATACATATATTTTTAGCAGCAATGTGCAGATACCACCAATAATGTAAATATGTAGAAAAGCAAAAATACAAATATGTAAATATATATATTTACATATTTGTATTTTATATATATATTGTGATCAAATCCATTAGGATGATTCTTTACAGAATCATCCTAATGGATTTGATCACAATATATATATAAATTGAAATTAGATGATTCTTTACAGAATCATCCTAATGATTTACAGAATCATCCATTCATTAGGATGATTCTTTACAGAATCATCCTAATGGATTTGATCACAATATATATATAAATTGAAATTAGATGATTCTTTACAGAATCATCCTAATGATTTACAGAATCATCCATTCATTAGGATGATTCTTTACAGAATCATCCTAATGGATTTGATCACAATATATATATAAATTGAAATTAGATGATTCTTTACAGAATCATCCTAATGATTTACAGAATCATCCATTCATTAGGATGATTCTTTACAGAATCATCCTAATGGATTTGATCACAATATATATATAAATTGAAATTAGATGATTCTTTACAGAATCATCCTAATGATTTACAGAATCATCCATTCATTAGGATGATTCTTTACAGAATCATCCTAATGAATGCTTATGCAAACATTGTCAACATTTCTCTGGGAAGTAACAGCCCAAAATTTTAGTGATACACTACACTTTATAAATTCAGCAACTATTTTAATTTGTAAATGCTTTCAATTTAAAAGCCACCATCAGCTGAGAGAGATTTGAATCATTTAACCCAGTGGCATGCCATGACATTTGATGATAGGGAAGCCGTGTTTCTGTAAATTATGTTGATGTTTTTAAACATCAACATAATTTAAACAAAAAGTTAAATTTAAAAATTTTCAAATAAAACATTTTTTCCCAACTAAAAAAATTAATCAGGCTACCTAGTTTGATATTCAAAACTATAACATACTACAGTATTACTATAGTTATGATTAAAATATTTTGGAAAAATTTTAATTGATGTTACATTATCAAGAGTATTGCAGATTATTCTTTCAAATTCATGATAAAGCATTTTTAAAATCTCAAAATGTTTAAAATTTAAAAATGCTGATTGATCTGGCATTATATTATATTAGGGACTGTTTGATCCCCAGAGTTTTGCAATGCTCTCCTCAGTGTTGCATTTTATAATAATTCTTCACAAAAACAATTAATTAATGTTAGTTTTAAAAGTGACCTGCAACTGTCAGTAAAAGTAAACCTTTGTACTAACTGTCAAAAACATTAAAACAAAATTTTTAAAAAATTAAACAATTTGATGTGATTAAAAGTTCTGATTTTGGGTGATTTTAAAATATATTCTTACAATACAATAGAACAATAAGTAAGACTTATTACACGCATGAAATTAAAATTAATTCATTACATGCAATTGTGCAAGGTTCAGTACTAAGTGCCCAGAAAAATTTTCAGTGTTTTTGGACAATGGTTTCAATCATATCAGATAAGGAAAGCAGTTATGAACATAAGAAAGACACAAAAATTTTATAAAGGATGGATTTGTACATCTAATGGTGTCTTCTAATACTAAAAATATTTCAATAGAAAAATGGATTATACTATATTTGTAATAAAGGTTGCATCATTACTTCTTGCTGCCTAGAGATGGCTACACTTGGTCAGCCATATTCCACAAACGATATCAACAAGGTAACTAAGCAGACAAATTCATGACATTTCATGACATTTTCCAAATAGTAATGAAAATCCCTGACTTTCCAGGTGCATAGGAACCCTATATATATCCACTAATCATTTTTTTATTGACTGCCAATCATCAGTCAAGTGTTGTCTATATTTTAAAGATTTTTTAAACAGAAAATAATATACAGGGGTGCAAAAGTAGGTATACAGTTGGGAATCTGAGAAATACAAATGTTTGGTGATCATTATTATTATTTTTATTATCTTTTATTAGTTCATACTCCTTATTGACAAGACTATGTCTTGTTTATAAAATCGTACTGCCCGATGTTCTTACCAGCATTGAGGTATGAAGGAGTGCATGTCGAGAGTTGATATTTGGCACAAAGTATTACATGCAGTATTGAGTAAGTACGATTTTTATAAGAATACCGGTATTCGGATTAGAAGATTTTTAATTTAGTATTACATGCCCAAATCATTTGCGCATAAAAAAAATCCAGACTCATAGGTAGTCAGGAGACAAAGAATCGAGTCAAAATAAAATCCAAAATGGCAACCCTCTTCTACAAACAGGCAAAACAGCCACCTCACCCAACCGAAATTGGGTAGGGGAGAGTACTACCCGCTGTCATTCTAAGAAGTGAACTCTGACCTTAGGACTGAACACGTAGTTTCTTCTATGTTAAATAAAATTTGTAATCTAATTTTGTAAATTTGGGAGTGCTTCAGACGTTAAAACGGTTTTATGTCATTACAAGTGGGTTTTTTTTTAACATTATCTAGTATAATAAAATCGTGGGACTGATAAAAATTTGACGTTATATTAGGGTTGTCGTTACATTCAATGACATTATAATCAGGTTAAACTGTATATTGTTTGTGCAAAATAAAAAAATAATTTTGGACGATACAATAGCTACGATTATTTTTTTCAAAAACGGGAACTTTTCGTTATGCATCGACAAAAATTCAACCCGAGCCAACACGCAACAGAGAGAAATTTTGAAATTAGATAGGTTAATTTCATCGAAGATGCATCGTGGACGGTCTCGTGGTTGTGGCCGGCGAAGTTTGAACCATCACACCCAAAAGCAGCAATATCAAAGAAGATAGGAGAATGAGAACGAGACCTGCCTTGAGCATCAAAGTGATTCTGTCTCCAAGACATAGTCTAGTCCCAAATACGGTTTTGCCGTTTTACTTGTTTCTGATTTAATTTGTACATAAAAATAAATGTTTTTTCCTTCCTATTTTCTCCCTGTATGTTTTTTCCATAACAATAACTTTATATCTACTTTTGCACCCCCATGTAAATAATAATAAATGTTATACATGACCACATAAGAAAAATTGATAAATATGGTGAGTATGGTACAGTAGAAATCACATAAATACACACTGCACTTACATGCACAAATCACATCAGTACACAAAATATCAATTTCTCAAAATTTTGTCCTATCTGCTTAATGTTATTCAATTTGAGAGAAAAGAATAAATCAACAGAAGACCGTATTAAAGAACTTTTAATTCCTTTGCTAGCGCTCTCAACATTTACATAAGCATCGTCATCAGGAAACAACTCAAATCGAACGTTTTTTCAGAACAAAACCTTTAAAGTACAGAACTGGAAAAACATTAATCAAATAAAATACAAAACTTTGAACATAAAATTTTTAAAACATTTTTAAAAATCACACAGTATCTACATGCAAGCACTTAAAGATGTGGAGACAACCACAGAGAAAGAGGTAGGGAAAGAGGAGAAAAGCAGTCAGTTATCATTATTTATATGCTTGTACAAATTGACCCAAATGTCAGGCAACTTGAGGGTGGGGGAGTTGCACGAGTTGAATAACATGGTGAAGAGAGACTCCCAAATAAACATTAAGCTCCTTTCACCACAGCTCCTAGGTAGTACAGAGAGGTCCCAAAGTGGGGTGTGGTTATGTTGTACAACCATCTTGAACAATTCAGTGTCACATCTTCCCAAATCACAGAATGCTGGTGCTCAGCTAATCGAGAGGACAGCATCTGGTGGTAGTCCCTATATAGCAGGTGTGTCCCAGTTGTTATATTTTCTAAAGATACTGAATATACTCCTGACTTTTCCAGGTGCAAAAGTGCATCCCTATCATTGCAGAAAAGCCTCCATAAAGTTGGGCAAGGTGAAATAGGTAAATATAAGAAATTTTGTCTAAAGATACAAGATATATGGGCTGACAGGTAACCACAATACAGTAAAGAAGGCTGGACTACAGTCCATTGGGTTTTGCAAACTGATGGTGGGGAAGAGCAACCTTTTGACTGTGTTTAGGATGTGGTTGTACTTGGCCTGCCACACACACTGCTGAATGGATGGAATCAAGCTCAATACAGGTAGCCCTCGGTTTACGCCTGTTCAATTTACGCCAATTCACAATAACGCCACTGCTCAATTCGCCGTTTCGAGATGTAATTCCCTGATTTTCCCTATGCTAGACTGATTTTCATTTCAGTGTTGACGTAGTATTTACCGAGCCGCGACATTGTACATTCGTTAAAACAAAGATTTGTATTAAATATATTTATTTTTTCTGTTTAATATTATTGGGTATGTATACATTTGCATTAAATTAATATTAAAATACTAAACATTTAGGTACCCACGAATCAAGATATTAAACTTAACAGTCCAATAAATGGCGTCCGAATCCATAACGCCAATGAATTTATCCCGTATCAGTTCATTCAGGAAAACACCTTACGACACAATAGCACTTCCGGCGATCACAAATTATTGTTAGTGAGACAAATCTACTTCTCATTGGCCAGACGATATTTATCTCTCCTTAGCACTTTGAATTTTCCTGCTCAAACTGACCTTATATATGCGCTATGGCAACCGATGGTCGACCAATCAGTGTTTTTGCTCTTCTGTAGCTCTACGTCGGATTAACGTATCCTTTCAACTAGGGAAAGTTTGACGGATGAAGTTTGTGAGTTAGACAATATTGGGAGCGAAGTGCAAATGTAAAAAGGAGCATCATATTCAACCATATTCCGAAATTCTTAATGAAAAAAATCAAATGTAAACAATTAAAGATGAATACTTTTTCCGAAAAATGTAAGAAATTCGAAAATAAAATTTTTAAATAAAAACATTTTACTTTATTTTATGATAAAATACATTTTAAAAATTAAAAATTTTTATGTATTTTGTATTATATTGTATTAATAAACAAAATTATTAGCTTATTTTTCACTTATGTAGAACCTAACCCTACACCTCACTATAAATACGGTTCGTTTTACGCCGATTCGATTTGTGCCGGCTTTTGTAGGAACGGAACTGCGGCATAAACCGAGGGCTACCTGTATTGGTAATAATTTGAGTAGAAAGTATTAGGAAAGCCCTTCTGACAAGGGAAGCTATGGCCATGTTGATATATTGCAGAGGTTGGAATGTTGTGGCAGGAATTACAGGGAGAATACTGGAAAATGGAGGAAACCAACCCCACTTATGACCTGGAGATGTCTAGATCTACACACAAGTTTTTCCCCCAATCTCGTTCTCCCAGGTGAAATTGATGGAAGAGTATACACTAGTGAGACAACATTCTAATGCTAGAAAAGCATCCTTCATGTCTTGCCATGCTAACAGGATGTCTCAGATATAACGATGGGTAAGATATGGAGAACAGGAAGTCAAAAACATTGTGTTCAACATGCCTCATAATTAATATAAAATTAATAAAATAGATGTTGTTGCATTATATCCCTCTATGCCTCACTTTGATGCAGTTATGTACACTAACTTATCATTACTTATCAAGAAATGTTTCACTGCACAAGTTCTGGAGATCCATGAGGCTTTGCTCTTTATCACAGAGAATAATTACTTCCATTTTAATGGAAGGATATATTTCCAAAAACAGGGTGTCCCAGTGGGTTTGTCATTATTCATAATGACTGGGCAGTATGAATAATGTCCATATTAATCACTTAGTTCATAACATATATAAATTTTCCATTTTTCTGTGACTATTATACTAAGTTGAAATAAAATTAACACCTCTTATTACAAACAAAATCAATTGATAAGCAGCAGAAAACAAAACATTTATGTAAATGATCAGAAAGTGTGTATTTTTTTTAATGCTTCAAGATCTTCTGTAAATATTGATTTAAAAATACATTAATAAATCTGAAATAAACAGATTTCAAATAGTATAAGCAAAATAATATTTTAACAATGATTTTATAAATAACGAGGAACTTCTCTAGCAGATGAATACAGTAAGAAGCAACAACATTGTTAATTTAACAAATACATTAACTTATTGGTCAATGGAATTTTTTCCAGTTTTTTTGATTCCTTGGGCACAATTTTACATATCTTTGCATATAGAACTGTACAAATCCATCTTTTATGATTGTTTAACACACTATTGCAATTTTTCCAGATTATTCCTACCCTTGGTTAATTTGAAACAAGAACATTCTTAAAATTAAGAAATTTTTAAAACGTTCTAAAATAGGTTTTGTTCATTATAAATTGGAATTATTTGATTTTTCCTGAAGATGGTCAATCAACTGACCAAAAGCATTAGAAGTTTAAATAAAAAGACTGCAACTCAAAGACCATGCTTTTGCATTTATCTGCTCCAGTAATAACTATTCTATTTCTATCAATTCAGCTCTTTGTACAATTTATTAATTTCTTAATTTTCATTGTGACATTGTGGGTTTCTTTGATAGACATTCTGAAATTTTTCATCTATTTATATACATTATGTATGTCAGAGATAAAACTAAGGGCAGATGACACATGGGTAAGATTGAAAATGTGAATGATGCTGTTGGGACCTTAACAGAACTGTAAAGCATGCCTATAGGAGAAAAAAGTCAAAGAAACCATACCTTTAAATGTGACTCTTTGCAAGATATAGCCCTCTGAAATCAGCCTAAAGCCTACTTCCAGGCATTATAGGAAATCATGCTGTATGCTCTGCTAAGCCTATCACATGTTTAACAATCAGGATAGTACAGTGATCAAACAGTTTAATGATATTTATCAGCAAAGAATAAAGAAAAGTCCAATACCTAACTCTTTGCAAGATATTCACCTCCAAATGTGGAACTCAACAGCAACAGTTCTGGTCACCATCTTGCTTGCAGATGTCGCGCTTGCAAGCAAGTTATGTTATAGACACTGCAAATTGCAGTGTCTATAACAAATAATAAATGCATTAATTTCTACCAACCAAAAACAGTTTTTACCTTGAACCAGTACTACTGCCTATTCTCCATGCTCTGTGCCATCAAGGTGAGCAATAGTGAGCCTTGACCAGCACTCTGCATGTAGTCATGCACTTTGGTGATCGCTGTTGCTCACACCTCAGTGCCCAGTTGGGGATAAGCCCACACCCCCTAAAACTATGGGTGCGTTTACTTCTGAGCTAATTTTACTGTCAGCATGCTCAGCCTGTATACTTTCGTCTGAGCACCACACTCATCGGCATTTACTTTCAAGCTATGTGACATCAAGTTTAGTGAAATTGGTAAGCTCGGAGTGCTAGCCAGTTCGTTGTCTAGCTTTTTACACTAATTCAATATGGCTGCTCTCATGAAAAAATTACTTTCTGTACAAAGTAATAAAAATGGAATTAGTTTTGGAAAAATAAACGGCAGAAAGTATTTTTATTGGTAAATTTCAATTATTTGTTGTGTAAAATGTTTACAATGATCTTTTTTTTTCATTGTAAGATTCAATAGCTTTAGATGATATTTTTTCATAAACAGAGTTAATTAATGTGAAAAAAATTAAGTTTGATTCATTGTTTATGATTAAAAGTGAGGTTTACCTTATACGTGTTTGGAATCTTCAGAAATGTTTTGTTCGAAGCATTAAATAAATTGTAAAGAAATGAACAGCATTAATAATAATCCAAAATTATATAAGTTTGTATACTTGAATAAATTTTCACTTACATATGGGAAATGATTTCTCAAGAAATTGCAAAATTTAAATAACATTTTTTCATTACAAACTAAACTTGTATGATGACAGAGTAATACTTATTTCTATTGAAATAAGCTACTGCTTCTTTAGTTGATGTCTTAATAACCATATGCTTTTCATTAATAGAGCCTCTAATTCCAGGAAAACCAGACTGGGTATAAAAAATTCCATTATTCTTACGTCATCCTGCTCTGTGATGGCCAAGAGATCATTTTAATTTTCATTTAACACTAACTTGTAAGAAAGAATTAACAACTTTATTTAAAATATTCCACGCAGTCTGTCTAAACATATTAAAATGATCATCAATACCCATAGAGAAAAGAAAGGAAAAAAAAAAATGTTTTTTATTATTTCAATTAATTTGTCAATTATTTATTAATTTTGAACTCGGTTTAGTTACACCACAAAAGAACAACATCACATCCATTCACTGGGTAAAAAAATTGCTTTAAATATGTATTACATGTATGTATAATCTACTATTCTCTTATATACTGCATCTAATTTCATATATTACTTCGTATAAACAAACCTGAATGATTCTTGATTTGCCAATGTCCATAGGCAGCATAAAAGCTGCTTTTGAGAAGACATGAGTTCTCAAAAGGAATTAATTTTTCTGTGTTTATAATTGGGCTTATTTTTAGAGGAGAATTTCAAAACATTCTCTTGTAAGTCTAAGGTTGTTTAATTAAAATCAGTTGGCTTATAAAAAGATAGAGTCTCTTCAATAAAACTTTCTATCTTTTTTATTTGACCTTACTTTTCTTTTTTCATTTTTTCTACAATTATATCCACAATAAAATCATCCTCGTCCGATTCGGAATCAAGTAGTTCTATCTGTAACATAACATTTAAAATAGCAGCTTTGACAATATCATTTTAGAAAACTGCCATATTTCTTGTTAGCGTTTGCATTTACTTTCGTACTGGACATGTAAGCAAGAATACACATGCTAATGACATCACTTCCGGTGTTCAGAAGTAGCACTATTAGCTCAGAAGTAAATGCACCCTATATGATATCAAGTATTCCACAAACAGTCAAATGGGCTACTCAAAGACAGCATAGTTGTGGGGGCTAAATAGTTAAACACAATAGTCTTGCTTGAAGCGCAGTGCGACTTGTGATCAAGTGCAGCTGACTTCAAGGAGCTGTATCTCATGAAGGGTCACATTTAGAGGTATGGTTACTTTAACTTTTTTGCTCCAATGGACATGCTCTACAGCTCTGAAGGTCCCAATGGCAAGAGCTGTAGAGCATGAAAATTAAGAAACATCTGCAATCATACCTGACAGATATATTAGATATGAGTAGGCATATGCTTCACTATAATTATTTGAATTATAGAGAAAATTATTTTAAAAATAAATTACAAGAAGTGATTTATCAGTACCAAGTAAGGAAGATGCAGAGCAGAAAAGATCTGTTAGGGAGAAGGCAGACTAGCGATGGCACAGACATATGTGAATTAACCTAGTACAAACCTCCAGAACAAGAGGGTGTTCCATGATCTTAGTTTGTCCCAAGTGACAGAGCCTAGTTGTATGTAATTATAATATATTGAGTCACGTATATGGCGCACATATAATTATATTAATTACAATTTAAACATAAATTTTACATTTGTTTAAATTGTAAGAAAGCACGTGTCTTGCAATGACATCACGCTAGTGAAATACGAACTCCTTATAGAATCTGTCACTTATCTACTCGTGTTAAGATATTAGTTATGTATATAAAAATTACCATTAATTACGTCAGAATTTGAAATTTAACTAAATTCGTTATGAGAAAACAAAATGTGCCTTACTTGTATTCTTAAAAACTCCGTTTGTCTACATAAACTTGCATTATAAGCTTTACGAAGTGTCATATTTAATGAAATCATTGTTTCTTTTATTTACAATATGTTTAAAATTTATATACGTATAGTAAAAAGTTCACGAATCAACTTTACGTTTTTCTTGTTTATAACACGATTACATACACAACAAACACGCGAGGTCGGGAAGTTACTTTTGAAATCTGCCGCTAGAGGCCACGTTTTAATGGCAAATAAATACAGTACGTAATTCGGCAAAATATTAACAAAATATGAAAAATTTATCTAAACTTAAAATTTTTGAATTCATTGTTTTCATATGTTCTTTATTTAAAAATGTATAAATGCGCAATTTCGTCGGAATTTTTTATCTTTAATTTTATTTACCTTTATGTAATGGACCAAATGAATCAAGATGGCACCTACCGCTCTGGGTAATCCGGATTCGAATCCAAACGGGTCGAAAAAAAACAGGAATTTTTCGGGAGTAATTAGTCTTGATATGTCGTGTTCGTCCCTTACCACCCGGCCGCCCCTTTGTGAACCTGGTCGAATCCATAATGGGCTTGCTAAAAAAAAACAAAAACAAAAAAACCTCCTGTTAGTGCACACAGGGCGAAAAAACATTTTTGATTGGCACGCATTTGTTATTATCGTGATTTTTAGTGTTTCTATTTTGTTTTTTAGTTACACAATGACAGAAAAAAATTCATGAAAGATTTACATATGAAACTTGTGAATCCTTACATGAAGAAACGCCTATCAGTCCCAACACTGCAAAAGAAGCTTAGGGCTAATATTGAAGACTTGGTGCCTGGAAGTTCTGGAGAAAGTAGCAATGTGTTAACTGCGCCAAATATATATATATATATATATATAATTCGCATGTTTAGATATTCCTATAGTAGATTTAAGAAAAAGAAAAGAAGCTATTTTATTTTTGTTAAACTTTTAAGAAATAATTATGAGACAGTTTATTATGATCTCAAAAAATACTAGTGGTAAGATAAAACTTGTTTTTTTTTAAAATAAATAATAATATTACCAAATTATTTTTGTTTCATTTATAATTGGTAATCATAATAAAAATCACAAAAGTCTAATATACCAATATTAATAAACATAAATAGTTTTTAAGAGCATTTTAAGCAGAGGTAGTCGAAACGACTAATGATTAGTATTTGCGTTCGAAAAATATGATTAGTATTCCAGGGTTAAGATTGTTAAGCCGAATATCGCATTAGTGTCAATGATTTTCCGACAAATCTCTATTTGCATAACAATTGATCGGTGGTTGCGCGGTTTCTTCTCAGAGACGACCAATGTGGTCTTTCCACTTATTTTTGGACATAATTTTTATTCTTGTCATTGTTAAATGACGTTAAGACCAAATCCAATCGAATTGTTAAAGCAAAATCGAAATTAATAAATACATTACATTAGTTTGTATACACATCATATCCCATATGAAATTTATAGTCTATTCGTTATAATCTAAACGTTCATTAAATAGAATAATTCCAGGTTATTTTCTCTATTTTCACAAATGTTTTGTGTTATGACAATGGGCAGAATTGTATAATTTGTAGAAACTGATTTCTCTAATTATATATCGAACGTTAAAAATCGTTGGAAAGTTAAAATTACTATATTTAATAGAGATTTTATTATAATATTTGTTATAATTAAGACGATCATCTATCATATTCTTAAAATTATTTCTTCATTAAAAATCTTACAATTTACATTAAATTAAATTAATAAAACGAATGTTCTTTTAATGAATACATGTCGCATTTTCATAATAGTCGTTTCTTTCTTTTGCAGAATGGATAATTTTAAGGAATTAAAGAAGTGGCACAGCTCGGCCGATGATAAGCAGGAAGAAAGCGCCTCGTTGTCTTCCGCTTCGGTTCGAGTGATTTGAGTGCTTCCGAAAGATGTCGAGGAGAGCGGAGAGCGCGAGTCGCCTACATCCGTCAACAAACGGGTGGTTGTCATCACTCCGAACGATAGCACCTCGATTGTCGTCGACTACTTGGGACGATGCTACCCAGAAGTTGCAGAATGGATGGTGGAGTGTCGATCGCGCGTGATAAGACTCGACGGACAGGAGTAGAAAGTGTTAAAGACTACGTTACGCTAATGTTTAATCGTCTATAAATGGACAAGGCAACTTATATTATACGGGCATTCACACTGTATTTAAACCAGTGTTCAACTGTTAACAAATTTCACCATAAATAATAGATACATTTGGCCCTATCGTCTCTGATAACGAAATTCCATTTCAGAAATGTGCTGATGCAATCGTTCCTTTTGTTCATCGGTCGCTCAGCTTCGTCTACTCCTCTATTTGTAATCACATTCTCGGTTTTTTCATCGTTGCTTCCACCAAGGTGGCTTTTAATTAATTAGTAATTAATCAACGTTTATGTTTTGTGGTAATTTTTATGTTTCATTTAAATTTATGAAGATTAAAAGTGATTCCATTTTACGTGAACTTGAAAATCGTTTTCAAAGACATAAAACAAGGCGATGTTGGATGCTCTTGGCAGGTTGCATAGTGCTTGTAGTGCATCCAAATTTGCAATGGCGTGTTTTAGCTTCATGGGGGTCCAAGCAAATTTGAGTTAGGAGGATCCGTGTATAATGTTGACTTCAAACATTATTCTTTGGGGAAATTTTTTGGGGAAACCCCAAGTATCCTCGTTTGTTTTTTTTAACGCGACCGCTGCGCTATGCCAGTGTACCCTGCGTGTTCTCCCCACTGTATATCTAAGGTCCTAGATATGGCCAAGTTTAAATTTTGATATTCTTATTACAGTAATGAGTTTATTTTAAAAAATTGGTTGTCGGGTTCCTTGTTGATAGGGGCTTCAGGCAATTGCGCTTTTTGTCTACAGAATAACGCAAATAACTTGAAATTTACCTTTGCTAGTTACCTACCAATGGTATAAGAAGTGACAGGATTCTGTAGCAAGGCTAGTTCCTTTCTCTAGATGTTAGATAACGATGTTAATGTAGATGTTTTGTGCTTGCTCGCAATCAGAAGATCGTCTTTTCTGGTTATCTATCTAGTTCATCCAGAGTTTGTCCATCAGATATGTGTGCCATCATGCATTAACTGTTCTCAGCACCACCTCGCAGTCAGTTCAAAATGGTCCGGATGGTGGTCAGTTCGGCAAAATAGCCATTGTCCTTTCCTCAACCTTATGGTGTGGCCTTTCTCAAACTATTAACCTCACATAATGTGTTTGACTGCATTGTGCAAGCATGCCTGGCATTTGAAGACCTATGTACACTGAAAATTCTGAACGTAGTGATTTTTTGCGTGTCTTTTCATAAGATACTAGAGTAGCGATTTTAAGGGCATTCTGATGGCATTACCTGGCATATAATCAGACCATAACTATAATCATTTATATATCTGTCTGAGATAGTAAAGTCATGCTTAGAAATATTCTTAGTTATAATTTTTATGGCCTTTCCGAGCTCCCTCGCGTTTATTTATGGTTGCATAATGCCAAGAATACTGTGAAAATTGAAGAAAATTTATTTTTTTAATATTTAATACATTTATGCGAATAAAAAGCACTTCTTTAAATTTTTAAAAATATTCATTATTAGAACTAGAGATGCTACCAGCAGGGAACGGATGAAAATAGGATCAACCATGACGTAAATAAACACGTGTCATTGCTATCCGACCAGTGATGTCAGGTACGAAGTAAACAGATGGACTTCTTCCTTAGATTATATAGAGCTTTATCGAAAGAAATAGATAAAAAAGTTTTAATACTAAAAATTTTTCTACAAAAATGTGGAAAAATATGTTGTTTAAAAAATCCATAAATATACCGGTAACTTAATATTTTAAACAACAATATGATGCTTTAATCGATGCTTTATTATCATTGCGAACCTAAAACATCCCGTTCTGTATATAATACTTTGCCAAGAGATACGTTTATTTTATAAATTTAATACTTTTATGTTTATTATATACTGTATTTAATTATTATAGACAAACTTATGTTTCATAACACAGAAAAATTAAATAGCGATATACTTTCGTGTTAAATATTTATTTTAAGGAAATAAAAAAAAAAAAAAAAAAAAAAACACAAGGTTTATATTTTCTGGAATGCAGTTATTCTAGAGTTTCTATTTTTCACTGTATATAAATAAAGTTCTAACTTCATAAAATTTATCTTACATTAATCACGCACTTATACAAGTTCGTAAATAATAGCAGATGACTTGTCATTTGATCTCATTTAATATCATTTCCTGATAATTGGTATCAATTCGCATCATTTAAAAGCATTTTCCATTAGTAAATGATTTTTAAAATTTTAATAGGGTAAATCAATGCTATATTAGTACTCCATACTCCACCAACTGCAGACTATTACAGCGTGTACAGTAATAATGTGCAGAATATCACAACTTTTTCAGATTATCTGTAGAAATTCTGCAGAATTTATATGAAGTAGACATTTTAGTATTTATGTTTCTGGAATTCATTTAACTGTTTGCGGCTAATGTGTAGAATTTATTTAACTTATTTCTTAACATATCTGTAACTTTTTCACAGTTATCTCTAGATAATTGAAATCACAATAATAACTTTTTAAAAAATGTCTCAATATTTCTTTTCCTGATCAGTTTAGTATTGAAGCCGCTGACTAAATATTATTTTGGTACGTGTTATTCATCAGATTATTTCTAGAAATAGTAATTTGAATGTCTTTAAATAATCATCTCTTTAATATTACGGTTTAAAAACGAATTGCTTATTCTATTCGGGCATTTATGGTGTCTTTAGTAGAAGTATTTATTACTGAAATATCAAAATAATGTGGATGCCATATTGTCAAATTTTGCAATGTTCTATAAGATATTAACTGCTAGTAATAAAATGAGTGTCATAGTTTTGTCAACAGATAAATTAATAAAAATTATATCTCAACACTTTTTATTACTTAATCCTATATCTCAATGCATTTTCCGGGAATACACTTGAAATTTGATAAAAATATTTAAATTTTCAAACTTCTAGGGGTCTGCGGAACTCTGCGAGAGTTCGCGGTCTATCATGATGTGGAATTGTGACACGAGAAACATTGAGAACCACTGTATTAAAGCAAATTCAATAATAGGCGACAACGTGATGTTGCTGGAGTTAAAAAAAAAAACGTTAAATTTCTCTTAATTTTTTACTTCTGGATGGAAAAGTTCTGAAATAAACAATAAACTCTCCAAAAGTTGGCGAGTTTATTGGATTAAATTGATAGATAAGACAACGCAATAAATGAACGATCTGCCAAGAGAATAAAGTAAACTCAGAAAAATTCTTGTGGCCAGCCCCATTGGCGAGGTTTAAATATCATTAATATATTTATATCAATCCTTTCCGCCCTGTGGGCACTAAAGGGCTTCTTTTAATAAGCCCATTATGGGTTCGGCCAGGTGTTGAGGGATGGGCCCTGATATATCCGAACGGATCACCCCCTATAAATATTCTGGGGATTTTCCGACGTATTCGGAATTGATCCAGGGTCCCCCAGAGCGGTAAACTACCACCTTGACCGCTCGGCCATTCGGCCGACAATCGTTAAAATATTTCATAAGTGGTACTTTTTTAAAACTCCACCCTGTGGACACTAAGACATAATTAAAAATATTACTGTTCAAAAATTAATAATTAATTTTAGAATACATTTAACTTTGATATTCTGACCGAATTTATACAATAAAACTTCATTAGATGGCGTTGATATCCGAAATTACGTTTCTGTGACGTAGGAGTTTTAATCTGTGCTGCTGTCATTTCCATGTGTGTGCTGTAATCGTGTTTATGCCTATAGGGCGGTTAGGGGGCGTTTCAATCAGCTGTTAGAAGTGTGCGTGTTTGTTCCACGTGATCTTTCTGTTTTCTATATATCTGAAATCAATTCGTTATCTTTCTTTTTATCCTGCTTTTTGTGCTCGAGGAGGTGGAAATTGATAAATTATGGCATACGAATTACTAAAATCTATAATATTTGAATACAGTACAGTTAAATTTGTAAATATCAAGAGTAAAACTGTTGGAATTCTCAATCGATTTATACAATTGGTCATTCTTGGTTATGTTATTGGGTAGGTAGGCTTATTAATTAATTCTTATTATTCTTTAAATTACTTTATAATAGCCATTATTTGTATTAAGTGTTTTTAATCTGGTTAAAATTAAACAAATCAATGTCAATAAGTGGTGTAACCAGAAAATACGAATAAGGGCAAAAATTTTTGCCGGTTTATTACTTATAAAGTTAATAATTAAGTCAATTACAGTGCTTTTTTATAAGGCTGTTTCCAATTTTGTTTTATTTCTCATCATTATGTTTCTGTGAGTATGCTCTACAGCTTTGATAAGGCCCCAAATGTATCATTCAGAGCTTTAATTGAGTCCTTATTTTTCTCCTGATTGTGCTGTTGATATCAGTAGTAATTAAATTATTGATTTTTCAATATTATACAACAATACTGTGTAAGTATTTCAACTGTACAAGTGATGTAAAAATGTTTGAATTTTTATACTGCATTTGCACAAGTCTGATTGAAGGTGTATTGAGAAGACTGGTGCATGTCCAAATTAGTCACGAGTGAGCACTCAATGTTGCTGTATATATATATATATGTGTGTGTGTGTGTAGTTTCACGTCTGATGAAAGAACTCCAAAAAGGGAAATACAAAGTATTTGAAGAATTTATTCATATTTATCAAAGCAAACCATGTCTTTGGCATATCAAATCAAAGGATTATCATGACAAGGGGAGAAGAGATGCTGGATAAGTAGACTAGTGGAAAAGTTAAAGGAAATAGACCCAAGTACTGATAATGATAAAGTAATGAAAGATAAATATCTTAGGAATAAATTACAGAAAAGAAAGAAGTTAGGAAAGTCAGCACTCTGGGTCAGGTGCAGAAGAAATTTACAAACATACCCTCTTGTAATATCAGAGGATAGGTTTGTAAATTTCAGGATTCCTTTTTCCTTCAGAGTTTCTTCTCTGTTTGTAAGTAACTATGCCAATCACAAGGATATATTTTCAATTCTTTTGATAGATTAGTTTGTGTTTCTTTTTCATTAATCAGTCTATACCTACGCTATATTTTTTTCATTGTGCTTTTTTCTTTAAAACTAAAACCAAATCGAATAAAGCAAGTATTTCATTTTGATTCATCAATGATGTGATTCAAACTGGCATTGTTCAAGTACACTTATGTCATGTGGTGGCTACATGGCAGTTACGTATACTTGTAAAATGAATGTTTATGCATACCATTCAAGTATGCAGTTGTGTGTGTAGCCAGCTTTAATCATTTCATTGTGTAATAAAATGATTGAAATTAATATGTAAAAATTATTAAAAATAACTATTTTAATTTGTTTACTTAATCAGGGCATATGAATATTTACAGAAAAATTAAAATATAATAATTTCTAGCATACTGTTGCATTTAGTACATGCCATTTTTCAAGTAATAAACATATTAGAAGAACTTTATTTTCATAGCCCAGAAATCATCATCATTGCTATGTTAGATAGATGTAAGAAGTTTATAGTCTTAATGATCAATTTGCTGACGATCACGCCAAAATATTATATTGTAAAAAAGGGAAGGCACTGAGGTCGGCACGCATAACGCACACAAAAAACGCACACATAACGCCGACCTCAGTGCCTTCCCTTTTTTACAAAAGTTTATAGTCTTTTAATTTTTACTTTATAGAAAAGATTTCTATAAATTTTGATGATTATACTTAATGATTTTAGGATTTTTTATAATTAGATTAGAAATAAAATTAAAATCCTTCAATTCTTTTAATGTCAAACATAATCAGCATTTCAAGATGTTTGAATGGTTTAAATGTTTGTTGGATATTGAATGAATTCAAATATTAAATTTAATTTTTGATTTAAATGTGAAAAATCTCAAATCAGAATATACAGGAAAAGTTTGTAATTTTTATTACTACTTTTTTAACAAATAGTTTAATCAAGATGTCAAGTAATTGCTATAATCTAAATATAACATATTAGGCACAATTATGATATATTTTTAACACTTGTAACTATTTCAAACTGAATGGACAAAATTTTCATTTATTTTAATTGGAATAGTTATTAAAAAATTTCAGTACACTGGAATAAAATTGAAGTAGCTCTATGAATACATTTGTATTTTTTTTTATTTTTTTTATTTTAGAATTAAAAGGCTAAATGTCATATACAGTGGAACCTCTAAATTTGTCAACCTCTATATTCATAATATTCAATATTTATCACGTTTTGGTGACTTTTTTATTTTTCCGTATTTGTCAGTATTTTCTGTATTTGTCGTCATTTCCAACACCAGAAGTGCACTGCAATTGTATGCCTNCTACAAATTAATTTTCTTACATCTGGTATACTAGTAAATCAGCTTGCTGGTTTATTTTGAGTGTTAATGATCAATTTGCTGACGATCACGCCAAAATATTATATTGTAAAAAAGGGAAGGCACACATAACGCCGACCTCAGTGCCTTCCCTTTTTTACAAAAGTTTATAGTCTTTTAATTTTTACTTTATAGAAAAGATTTCTATAAATTTTGATGATTATACTTAATGATTTTAGGATTTTTTATAATTAGATTAGAAATAAAATTAAAATCCTTCAATTCTTTTAATGTCAAACATAATCAGCATTTCAAGATGTTTGAATGGTTTAAATGTTTGTTGGATATTGAATGAATTCAAATATTAAATTTAATTTTTGATTTAAATGTGAAAAATCTCAAATCAGAATATACAGGAAAAGTTTGTAATTTTTATTACTACTTTTTTAACAAATAGTTTAATCAAGATGTCAAGTAATTGCTATAATCTAAATATAACATATTAGGCACAATTATGATATATTTTTAACACTTGTAACTATTTCAAACTGAATGGACAAAATTTTCATTTATTTTAATTGGAATAGTTATTAAAAAATTTCAGTACACTGGAATAAAATTGAAGTAGCTCTATGAATACATTTGTATTTTTTTTTATTTTTTTTATTTTAGAATTAAAAGGCTAAATGTCATATACAGTGGAACCTCTAAATTTGTCAACCTCTATATTCATAATATTCAATATTTATCACGTTTTGGTGACTTTTTTATTTTTCCGTATTTGTCAGTATTTTCTGTATTTGTCGTCATTTCCAACACCAGAAGTGCACTGCAATTGTATGCCTGTGATGTTCAGCTGGCTGTGTTAGCTAGCTGTAGGATTGAGAGGCCCAGCTAAAGATTCTACAATTCCTGGTAATGCAATAACTTTGCACACTTTTCTTAACGCAGTGGAAGTAGGATCTTGTTTTAGTACTATGGATCTGGAATGTTTGAGGAATTCGTTAGCTCTATTGAGGAAATCTTTGTTTGTGCATAGAACAAAACATTTGTCTTTGTCGGCTACTAACAGTTTTAAGTTATTCGATTCAAGAAAAGATTTTACCATTTTTGGAGTCTTCATATTTGCCCTCATGGTTTTAGGGAAATACATTGGTACTATAGAAGTCAACGTAGAAAGATCTAATTTAGGTTGCAAATCTGGACTTTTTGTGCTCTTTATGGCCGCAATAATAGGCGGTATCAGTTGTGAATAATTTTGGTTAGGAAAAGGTATAAACTTTGGCCCCTTTATTAGGGTTTGGTGGATATTCTCCGGTATTGCAATGTCAATAAAAATAACTAGGTGTAGTTAATCAGTCTGCTTTGTGCTGTCATTGTGTGTGTTGTTGAGTTATTGAAAAATAATCAATGCAAGAAACCAAGTTCCAATCACTCCAAAGTGCACCCAAATGTTGCTATAGTTAACCAAATACAAATACATTCAATGATAATGTAATTGCCTACTTCAGAAAAGTTTTAAAAAGCAGACAAAAACACACAACACTGGACAGGTTCTTTATTGAGTGCTACTGAATCATTGGCAAAACAGACATGATCATAATTGGAATTGCCTAATGTTTTAATTGATGTCTTTTTCTAAACAATAATATAGTATTATTATTTAGAAGAAGTATATTAATAATACTGTTTTTCCTCTTCTACCACTATATTGTATTTATTTAGTACAATAAAGATAGTTTTACAAACAACATAATTTTTATTCTTATACTTTTTTTGGGATAGGGTTGGATTAATTGAATATCAGTTATTTATTATAAGAAAAATTGTTTCTATATTCATCATATTCCATATTCATTAGATCCTTAGAAACAGATTAATGACGAATATAGAGGTTCCACTGTACAGTACATGTATCTGTTGCTTAATGAAGGATTTGATTAACCCACAAAATTAATTACAGTAGTCTTTATATATGCAGCAGAAATTTTAATTAACACAGCTTTACCAACTGTCTTTACTAACATAGATACTGTATTTGATTAATGTTGGTTTGATATGCACAGTAGCATCCAAGCGATTAATTAACCGTGTTAATCAAGGGATACCTCTTTGATGAATTTTACATTAAAGTAAAATAATTATAATTTATTTATTTAGAACAATTTTCATTTGATTAGAATAAAATATATTTAAAAATTTTTTCAAGAAATTTAAATTTCTTTTAAATAGTGTGGATTTTATTTTGTTTTTAATTTTTAGAGTTATAAAATATTTTGTAATGTCTTTTCCTTTTTTGAAAGTATAAAGCAATTATTTTCATTTCAAAAAAGAGTAACAGGAAAGATTAAGAATCTTTGCTTCAAAAGTGAGTTAAAAAATGCAAGTTTCTAGAAAGATGCAAAAAAATGTTTTTAAACATGATGATAAACATTATATTGCTAATCATTTTATTCAGCAAGAAGAATATGTAATGGTCATAAAAACCAGGATTAATTATTGTTGTTCAAAAACAATTTCTTGTACTTTTCTAAACCCTACATTTTCATTTTTAAAGTAAGAGTGCAACATGTTACTCATGAATTAAAACTTCATTTGATTGATCATAATCAAACTGATATATGTAATTTTATTTTAGTGAAATATTAATTTAAATATATCAATCTAATAACTTATCATTTCTTAATTATTCTGAAATAGTTAATTTTTATCA